CATCTTTGCAATGAAACTTTGTAGCTCCTCTCATGAAGAGATGAAGTCCAATTTCCCAACCTTTAAATCTGAGTCACTTTTGCCAACAAAATGCAGCAGAAGTGATGGTGTACCATGTCCAAATCTATGTCTCAAGAGTCTTTGTAAACTTCAGTTCTTAGACTTTGGGCCGAAATGAACCCAGGCTAGCCCACTGGAGAATGAGACCATGTAAGAGAGACATACATCTGTTCAGTCATCTTAGCTGAAGCCTCATGTAAAAAAATCTATCCAAGATCAGCAAAGCTGACCAATCACAGACACTTTAAAATTCCAACTGAGCATGGAAGAACTTCCCAGGTAAACCTGCCAGAACTGCCAACCCACAAAACTGTGACCTAAATAGACGGATTTTGTTTTTAAGCTAGTGCTTTTTAAAATTCAGTGTTGCTTTGGAGCTGTTTGAACTTGAGTCAGCACAGAAGCATGCAGAGAACCTGCTAAAGCAGGCTATTCAGATTTCATGTGATTAAACTCAAATAGCTGGTTAATGAAGTGACAGTAATTAGCTGGTTTCTCCTCCAAAAAGACTTTGCAGATGAGCCACGAAGGAAAGCTATCACTTCCTCCAAAGGATACATAAAGCAAGAGAATCTAAGACAATGTAAACGACTCATGGGATTTTAGGACCAAGGAAAGAGGCCAGAGTTGAAAACTTAAAAGATACCCTTTTCAATCAAGCAGGTGTTCAAGGTCCCCACAGCAAATCCTGACTGCAGGGTCAAAAGACCTCAAGAGCCAGCAAAGTGAACACAAAGTATTCACCACTAAGAATTCCTCTTATTTAGTAAACCAGGTGGGCAACTTGCCATTGGGGAAAAATGCTTAACATTATTTATATAGACCCCAAGGGGAGAACATCCCTAGTATTATGTTCCAAATTGGACGGTTTTGACCTAGTTTCTATGCAGCTCTTGGTGACCCAAGCTGCATGCTACAGACAATTGAGACTTTAATCCTTGTGAGGCACATAACGTCCTTCATAGGCCGCATGAGAAGAATCCAATTTGGAAACGCCACTAAGCAAGCAAGATTTTACCCTAAACTCACCCATAGCAGATTTAAAGAACTGAAATATTGGAGGAGAGGGGGCCAGATAGGAACTCTCCTCCACTGCTGGTGGTCATGTAGGTACATACAGCCTCTGTGGAAAGGGATCTGGTGATATTTAAAGAAAATGGAAATTGATCTATCTTCTGACCCAGAAATCCCTCTACTGGCCATATACCCAGAAGAAGTAAGAAATAGACCACAACCAGTCATCTATGCTCCGATGTTTATTGTGG